ACACGCACACTCTAAATTGGTGACTGCATTTGTAAACTACCGGCCAGGAGATGGGATATACTTAATTTGTTTGTATCTACTCTTAACTACTACTGAAAACCTCGGATTCGGTTGTGTTGAAAATATATTATAATTTTCCGGCAAAAATGCTACAAATATAGACTTTCGAGCACACGAAGGTTAAAAGAATAAATGAGTGAACTTTCTTCTGAGAACAGTTACTCAAACAAATGACCACGTGTTGATTTTTTTTTTTTTTTAATATTCGAAATGCAGTATCAAAAAAAAAAAAATATCTAAAAAATTAACGCGATTTTTTAGCCAGTTGAAACTTGCATTTCATTGAACTCAAATTGTATGGGCTATAAAACTGCATACCCAAAAATGCTCTAAAAGTTAAGATTAAAAAGTAGAATATTTTATGAAAATTTGTTTAATTTTTCTAAATTTTGTATAAAGTTTGAAACTCTTATTTATATGTTTTCGGTTAAAGCATGAACGACATTTTTATAGAAAAACAACCTAAAACATTACGAATATTTGAAACGAAATCAACACGTGGTCACTTGTTTGAGTCACTGTATGTCTCCTTACCTGCAGCACTTAAATTTTGGACCCACGTTGCGCGTACTCAACTTGCACGTCCCGCCTTACCTTTATTTTCCTGTTCAAGGTGTTCTCAGGTTGATTGAGATGGATGATAGATTCCAATGGAAAAAAGTGCACGATAACATAATTTTTTTTTATTCAACATTCATTTATTTCTGTTATATTTCTTATTGATTTTTACAATATTTTGCTTTCTATCAATTTGTAATTTTTCACAAATATCTAACCTCAACTTTTACATATTTTTATTTCTTTACACTTTTATAATAAATATTATGTGACTAACGTATGATTGTGTATGCCACAATTATTCATATACAATTAGCATATCTATTTAAAACCACAATACAAACACTCAGACTTAATTGCAGTTTGAAATATGTTCTAGTACATACTTAGCCATTACACTACTTTTAGTTATTTATTAAATATTTCATTTTGTTTCTCATTTACATAGAAAACATTGTAAAATACTAAATTTTATTACATATGTACATACCTAAGCGTATGCACTTATAATTTGGTAACTTAAAAAAGTTTAACATTAGCTACATATATGTATACATATATGCATGTATGTATGTATTTTAGTAAAATTTTGCCACAGCTTTTTGCACTTCTAAGTATAAATTTTGTTGATTTTAGTTTCTAAACAGTTTTTCAAACACATGCAAATAGTTATATCTACTATGGATTTACTTACTTATGTCCATAAACTTTTAATATTAAAAATGTTCTCAAGCTACAACTCTTATTTACTTACGAATATTTTGTTAGCTAGCACTAGCTTCAAACGCACGATAACTTGTGTTGTTTATTTACAATTTTTAAACTCACTAGATTATGTTTACTACTAAATACTACTAAAATTATACAGTACCTACCTCAAGTACATGCACATACCAAGTTTGACGACGGACGACAGTAACTTTAACACAAAAAAAAAAAATTTGTTTTTGTTTTTCACTCTGACATCAGGATTTTTTTTTATAAGACTTTGAAGTTTTTAAAAATATTTTTTCAAAAAATTATTTTAAAAAATTCAGTGCATTGTAGAAAGTATGGATATCAGACAAATTAAAGAGAAAACTTAGTAGAATTAACGCCGATCGATTTTTTCGGTGCATTAGGACGATTCGGTACTAAAAATGTACTTTTAGAACTTTATCCTTGAATTACCTTGAAGTTTTGCAATAATTTTTTTTTTTTAATTATATGTTAAGGATTAATATATGTACACACGACCACATCCTCGAATCTAATCCTTTTAACTTTATAAGCTTAAAAAATAATTAATAATTAATTAAAAGGGCATTTTCAATACTTATTTGTCCTTGTGAACAAAAAAATTTAAATTTTTTTAATCCTACAGAATTTTTGCTTTCATTTGGAAATCACCAAATTTTTTAAATAAATTTGAAATCAGAAAGTCCTTCAAAAAAATCCTGACGTCAAATAGAAAAGCTTAAAACGCAATTTTATTATATTTGGTCCACAGTTTCGTGAGCACATTGATCACTTCGTGTGTTTCGAAATTTTTTTGTTTTTGTCGCACGGTGCACCAACTCGTACTAAATCTCACATAAATTGCAGTTTTTACTTCCAAGAGCTACTACATACTCGCTAGGCGCTCGCACTCTGTTGAAGATGTTTTATATTAAAAACTGCGCTTAAGTCTATACTAAACAGCATTTTTTTTGGCATAAATATAAAACCACAGTCAGCGTAAAAGTATGCAACTATTATATATAATGATATTTAAAAAAAATCAAGCATAATTTATTGGCGCAAAATTAAAGTCAGTTTCGTTTTTTATTATATTTTTTTTTTTAATAAAGTAAAAACAGAATTATAACAGCAAAAGCAAAAATTATTTTAATATCTAAATATTTTGAAGCCTACTTTTTGGCTTACACTTTATATAAAAATCTCATAAACACATTTTCCAAGCATTATCTTTAAATGTCTGCTCTGCAGCTCCCCCATATTTCTTGCTCGAACGAACAACTTGCCTACTTTTGGGCAACGCTTTCATGAATTTTGTTTTGTAATTTTTTTTTCACATCACATACATACATGCCTATGATCATTATCATGTGCATTAAAGTTGGCCGCCAATATTTGTATAAAATATGGGTACGCCTAAAATGCTGCCTCACATCACCTCACAATCAAGCGATACTTACTGCTTAATTGCACTATTATTAAATAAGCGGCTTAAATCTGATGTATTTCCACTCATTTTGTTTACATAACAGCCATTTTTAATTTCTAATTTATCCATATATGAAACCTATATAAATAACCTAAGTTCACAATTAAAACCATAATGCATTTTGTTGCGCCTAAAAGCTTTTCTAAGCATACATATTATTTTAATAATTTATGCTAATGTTTCATGAGTATTGACTTTCCCAAAATACACAAATTTCTACTCGCGAATATTTATATATAAACATTATATTATGTATCACTAATTAACTAACTCCAGCTAAAATAAGTTTAGTTGTGTCCTTGACTGTTGCATATTTGCAAGTGCATACATATAGTACACATTCATATACGCCGAAGCCTAAAAGTATGCAAATATATGTACGTTAATAATTTGGCAGCTTAATATTGAATGCATTCAAGTGTGACCAGGTAGTTGCGCACAATTTTTATTTTGTGGATTTTCAGTTTGAGTTGCCGTATAAATTAGGTTGTTTTTTGTGAATTTTTGTATTATGCATTTATTTTAAACCACCAAAGTTGGGGCTCATTTTGTACGCTATTTTGCAACTTTTAGGCTGAACGCGCGCCAAAGTTTTCAATGTATTTGGTAGAAATCTAACTACAGTTTTAATACCTTTCGGCTACAAGCGAACACATTTTAAATACACAATTTTACACACATTTCTCTGCTACTTAATATTACGCTTAAAAATAGATTTTGTTTATCATTAAAATATTGTGTTGTTTTTTGCATTTCCATTGCAAAACCCATTTCAGCATACGCAACACAGTTAGTTGAATTAGACAGCAAAATATTTGACAATTTGACTGGTTAACAAATAAAAAAGAATAATGTCGCACGTAACGTACACCCCGAAAAGTATGCAAGCGTGCATGCACTTAAAGCAACGAGTACAGCACTCAAAGAATTGTATTTGTTTGTAGCTTTTGTAAAATTCATATGTATTTTTTTAATTGTTCGCATACGTCTTTTTTCTCCCTTCCCCTAAGCGTAATTGCTCTACAAATACTACTTCACTTGAATGCGCGTGTGTTTGTATTGTACTCATATTTTAAATTTCGCNAACGAGTACAGCACTCAAAGAATTGTATTTGTTTGTAGCTTTTGTAAAATACATATGTACATATTTTTTAATTGTTCTCATACGTTTTTCTCTCCCTTCCTCTAAGCGTAATTGCTCTACAAATACTACTTCACTTGAATGCGCGTGTGTTTGTATTGTACTCATATTTTAAATTTCGTAATTGCGCGCTTGTCACATTTGTTGCATATGCATAGGCGGCGGTGGCAAGAGTGCTGTGGCAAAGCAATTAAACCTGTCACAATTGAAAAGTACGTGCGCCCTCATGCGTCAAGAAGGGTTGATTGCTTGGCTTGTGAAGTGCGGAAAATAATTGAAAAATGACAGAAACAAAGAAAAATACAGAAACATAATTTTAGGCGCTAGAATGAGACTTAAACTGTATGCCACTAGAAACCATTTTTGCGCGAGTTTCAGGAAAACGTAAAAGTATAAGTTGCTGCGAGTACTTAAAACAACTTTAAAGGAGGTAGAGGTCTAAAATTTAGACAGCAACGGTTAGGTTATACGCACCAGCTTGAAGCAAAAAGTAAAAAAACGGCAAGGAAGCGAAAAGCTTGGCTGATTTGGGTGTGTACTTAAAACAAAAAATAATTTCTTAAATATTTTAATCTATGACGAAAGTGTGTAATATTTTTGAAATACCTTGCGCCTTTGCGTTTTTATAGAACACAGGATTTTTAGCATACTTTTAGGATTAGTACCAAAATTAGCGTTTGCAAGCTAACTGTGTTGCTTTTCAAACTCTTTTGCAAATATTTCTTATTTACTAAAATTCACTGACACAAATCTATTAGTTTATACTTAAGTTTAATTACTAATTTTAAAAGTTTAACTTTCGCCTTAACTTGTTTGTTAATATATAACTATATATATAATAGTATTTGATAGCCTATACATATGTGGCGNATAGAACACAGGATTTTTAGCATACTTTTAGGATTAGTACCAAAATTAGCGTTTGCAAGCTAACTGTGTTGCTTTTCAAACTCTTTTGCAAATATTTCTTATTTACTAAAATTCACTGACACAAATCTAACAGATCTTAACTTGTTTGTTAATATATAACTATATATATATAAAAGTATTTGATAGCCTATACATATGTGGCCGGCAAGCCGTTTTCCAGATTTTAGAAGTGCGTCTCAATTACCTGCAATGAAATTAAGAAAAAAACAAAGAAATTTGTCAAATAAGTAGAATTCAATAGTGTAAGAAAATACAATAAAGCTACTGCTATTTTTTTAAACCTTTCAGCTCCAAAGGAAACATATTTCCCACTTATTTGTAGGAAAATCGTGTAGAATTTTAAATGTCTTATATATTTTTTTTACTTTTTGAATGTGCCTGATATTCATTTAGGTATAATGATCCAGAAATTTATGAAAAACGATTTAACTCAATTTTGTTAGAAAAGTTTAATGTTTTAGAAAATATGGGTTTTTAAGATTTTTTTTTGGAAAAAAGAATTTAACGGAAAAAACGTAATTTTCCAAATATTCGAAATATTTTTAAGATTTTTTTTGGGAAAAATAATTTTACGGAAAAAACGTAATTTTCCAAACATTCGAAATATTTTGGAAAATATTTTTTGAGTAAAAGTTATTTATTTCTGAAAAAAAAATTGGGAATAAAATTTAGAATAAAATTATTTTTCATGTAGAAATTTGAGGGTATCTAGTAAGTAATTTTTTCAAAAAATTATTTTTTGGGAAAAACAAATTTAAGATGTCTTAAGAAAGAAATAGTGTAAGCAGAAATAATTTTGTAAAATATTTTTTTGAAAAAAACTACTTTAAAAAACCCCCCAAAATTTTATTTTTTTTCTAGCAAAAATTATGAGATTAAAGAAAAAAGTTGTAGAATAAAATAGTTGAAAAAAGATAGTTTTTAGTTTAAATTAAGGAAAATATTTAAGAAAAAATTACTTTTTACATTGATTTTTTTTATTTTTATTTTAAGAATTCGTTTACTTAGACATCAATAACTCAGATTTTACAATTCAAATCTTGAGGATATATTTGTATGTTTTTGGTTCCAATAGGGTTAAAGGGCGTACGTATATGTAAATAATTTTAATTTCTGTATAAATATGCGAAGAAACGAGACATCACTCACATCTCTCATGTCATAATTTTCAAAAGAATTTCTGCAGCATTAAATTTTATTAAATACTCTATTTAAGTCTTTTACTGCTTTTACAACTCGCACATCCTGTGGTGCAACAAAATGAATAACCACCATTGTGTCATTTCTGTTTAATTTTCTTTCCTTTTTATACCAAACTCTGTATAAGATTAATATCAAAATTGCGCTGACCTTTCTTTAGAGCATTGTTTTTTACCTATTTATTCAAATTTAAAGATCAAAAAACTTTGCGGTCATTGAAACGACAGCATTTGGTCATTTTGTTCTTTTGAAGTCTGTCGACCTAAAGCCGTAGACCGTAATTAATTTAATGAAGTCAAGTGAAAAAAGCAAATTCATGTACGCGTAAATCTACGAGTATTTGTGGCCGCTGCAGTCGAGCGGTTAAATGTGCGTTCTGTCACTCGGTAGTACCCAAGTTTGATTTCTAAACAAAATCCAACAAAAAACACCTACCTACCGTTCTTAAGCCGTATAAGGTTCCTTTATTTGTGTGGCATCATCAAGACGGAAATTGGAAATTGGAGGAGAAGTTCGGCCAAACACTAAACAAGACTTGTTAGCTGCTGTTTAATATTTTCATATTTACATACGTACATAAAAACAAAGCTTCTTTTCTTAATTCGTTCAACCATTTATTTTTGTTTTTGCGAATCTAATTGAAATCACAAAAATCCAACTAATTGCTAACCATAACTGGGTTGAGTGATTTTAACCCCCCCATGAAAAGTTGATTTTCTCACCGTGGACCGGAAACCCGTGAAATAACGTGATCGTCGAGAAGCCAATGCAGCCTCAGATAGAGACAGTTTGGTGCGGATTTTGGAACGGTGGCATCATTGGCATTTCGGTTAACAGTGAGCGCTACAGGGACGTTATAAACGATTGTTTGTGGCCTGAAATTGCAGCCATGGACTCGGGCGATCTATGGTTTGGGCAGGAATGCTACACAGCCCTTGCCACAAGCGATTTTCTGCGCGCCCAGTTCGGTAATCGTGGTATCAGCCATCTTGGCGATGTCAACTGCGACGAGTGGATGAAGCGCATTCTGGAAATCCTATTTTCGACAATATTTTCAAGCAACGGAATCATACGTTATTTTATTCGAAGGCTTCCTAAGTTGGCGGTTTATTTGCATAAACCAATAGGACTGCGTAATTCCGTAGTAGCGTGAAATCGTACGTTCACCAAATATTTATTTAAAAAGTCGCTCTGTTGCATAAACAGTTACTCAGCCAATATTTAATTCAATTCGGGCATGAAATAATTGCCAATTTTGGCTCGCTGGCGCTCGCAATTGACGGCTATGTTGGTTGGTTGGTTGTAGTGCCTCCCAAGTTATCCTCGAGAATCAATTTGCGCATAGTAGCACCATTTTGTTGCACTTATCCCGGACAATTTTATTCTATCGTCAAGCATTTGTGCAGTTCAAACAAACCACTTTGACCCGTTTCTAAATTTGTGCATATCGCTTATTTTGGCCCTAGATAAATCCTCTAACTGCCGAATTGTGTGTTTCCCGAAAGCTTTATGCCTTAAGGAAGCCAGCCCTGGGCATTCACACAGAAAATGGAATACCGCTTCCTCGCTGCCCTCTATCCGGCAGCTGCGGCATGTATCATTTTATGGGAGTCCTATTCGATAGGCATGCTCTCCTATCGGTTAGTGGCCGGTGATAGTCGCTAGAATCCTAAATACATCTACCCTCGACCTACTTAGTAGCTCTGCTATTCTTTTCCTGCTATAGTCAGGCCAAAGCTCACGTGCTATCTTTCAAGTCTGAATCTCTGACCACCTCCTCCTTGCCAGTTTCAGAAAGTGCAAGTGTACCTCTGCTTGTACTTGTCTGAGGGGTTATCCGAGTACCCCCGCTAACGATTCATCCAAACAAGCCTTGGCCAGTTCGTCTGCTCTCTTGTTGTCTTCTATATTTCTATGGCCGGGAACCCAGACAAAAGAGATAGACATTGACTGAGACGCTGCATCGCCGCCTGGCTGTTTGAGTAAAACACTGCTTTTACTTTTCTAGTAGCACTGTTATTTAGTAACCTACAGGCCTCACATATACCCAGGACTTCTGCCCTGAAATATGCTAGCATGGTTCGCCAGTCGCAGGGACAGATTGACACCAAGCTCCTCGGAATATACTCCTGCCCCCACACCGAAGTCCATCTTGGATCCGTCTGTGTATAGATGCAGACAGCTTCCTTATCATCTGCTTGGCCCCTTCTCCATTCCTTTCTGGATGGAAACCGTACCACCACATTCAAGTCAAATTACTGGCTTGATACCATGTAGTCCGTGATTTTATTTTCTATCGGACCAATACTTAAGTTTTAGCTGTGCACAAAGGTCCTCGTTTTCCACAGCCCAGACTCCCTGAGTCTTAAAGCTTAGTAAGTCGCGATTTCTTTTAGGCATAGATCAAGCAGAATCATATTGAGGACGACATTCAGTGCTTCTGAAGGGCAGGATCTCAATGCCCCAGTTACGGCTATGTACTCGACGCTCTCATTTTTAATTAAGTATGCAAAGACCAACGATTCTATCGGCTCTTCATGCATACCACGTGCGTTTTTGTGAATGCAGTGGTACATCGTGTATTTTTCGGATATTTTCTTCACTCCAAATGTGGTAAGTGGGTTTATGTCCATTAAGCCAAAAATGTTTACGGATTTTCACCCAGCGCTCGCAGAACTGACATCAGACTCACCAGACATTGTCAATTGATTCATATGGTTAACCATAAACTAACTGATTGCCAGACAGTTTTTATCGCAGTCTGCTTAGTCAACATAATAGACATTACTGGCACGATGGCATCGCATTTTAGTTGGAGTTTCGAGTTTTCAAACCAATTTGCAATCACCAGAATTCGATGCCTAATGAAGGCATCAGAAATTTTTGGTAATAATAGACAGATTTCAGTGATAATGACGACTGCTGTACGTAATAAAAGCACCACTGGAAATTTGTCAATGTGTCAATAGTGCAGCAGCTGCTGCCAATTCCTGCGGACACTTATCCGGTCTGACGTTGATGACTTCACGCAAATGGCTGCCGATATGTGTATGCGTATGTACGTTTATGTTGGCCTAAAATATATTAGTGGTAGGGTATAGTGGTAGGATTGTCGTCGACAAAGTTTTAAATCGAAAACCTGAAAAATGTGTTTTACAAATTTTTGCAAAGTTAATCTGTCATTCAGCAAATTAAGTTACATCGACGTGTAATGAGTTGTTTTCTTTGATATGCGATTGAAAATTTGTATGCAATATAATTGTCTTTCTCTTGACAATTGCCCACCAGTGTTTTGCCTTTTGGGTTTAGTGTATTTCAACTAAAACTTGATTTTAGTGTATGCATAATTGAAATATTTTTAAATCGGTTTTTAAAATAAAAGTTACGTTCTGCAGAAGCGTGCCCTATTTAAGGCCCATAACAAGCGACTGATTTTTCATATTATGAAGCACAAAATTCTTCCATAAAAATATCTTCAAAATAGCGAAAGGGGAAGCATAATCCTACTTAATTTGGCATAAGCACACCCAAAGGAGCATCTTCGACCCGCCCATACAAAAGCCTAACAACCGACAAAAATTAATGGACATTGAGTACAAAGCTAAAAATTAAATTAAAATATGGTACCTTAACTTTTATGTGCCTTAATACATATGTACATATGTATAATGGGGCTATGAATAGAAATAATTTAACAAGAACACAATGCGCCGTTAACAAACAACAGCACAATTGAATCCATAACCAGCTCCGGGTTCACTTAACATTTATTTGAACAGAAATCATAGCTTGTCAGGTGCCGCATGACCAGTGCCTGCTGTATTCTCTCTCTCTCGCAGCTGCCAAACAATAATGACAAATGTTGCTGCGAGCCACTTCATCATAATGAGAACAGCGGTGCGTATACGCAACGCGAAACAGCACAGGCGCGTGATTAATGACAACACAACAAACATTAAACAATTTAGGGTAAAATTCAAAACA